TCCCTGTTCAGAACTTTTTCAGTGCTGGCAGTCCCATGTAATGTTTATCACTAGTGTTCTATATTGATTACGCGGGGCAAGGACTTTAAATTAATTTTTCATTCGATAATCCATAATTTTCTAGTGGATTATTTCTATTATTGAAAGGACTAAAAATTGGATCAAGAAAAATTTTTGAAAATCCTGATCAAACGAAGTCAACATTAGATATAGATGTTGATGTGCCATTATCAGGGGATAGTATTCCACTTTGCTATCCAAAAGTTAGGAATATATATAATATTTTCCATAATGCAGGTCTGGATTATATTTCTTTTTTAATTGTAATATTCAATTTGTTTTTTTATATAAATTTTTTAAAATGTTATTCTTTTTCAAAGATCCAATTGCGTATCGCATAGGTAATTAATATTATATGATAAATCACTTATCTTATTACATGTGAGTTAAATAATAATATTCATTTCAGAGCCACTTATTGCACGTCATTACGGTTCCTCACTGAAGCCCGCTCTGATCCCATATCAAAAGGGTGGTCTCAAAGCTGTCCATCTCGGAATTCAGGAGTTCGGCAATGAGATTGCCAGCAGAGCTACTAATATTTTTTCGACCGTAAGAACATCATTAATGTTCACGCGAGGTCTGCAATCAATGCTACAACAAGGAAATAATACACCTCATAAACGCTCAGCATCAAATTCTACTTTAAGTACTGAAGATGATAAATCTACCGATGGCAACGCGTTAACTAATTATCCACCAACACAATATGCGCAACCACCAACTACAGATGAAATAAAGAAAGAGAAAGAGGATCCCGTTGGTGCTGCTAAGCTTAAAAGCTTGAATGTTACAGGAAGAATTGATTATGCATTGCAGGTATTTTGAAAAAATGAAGATGTAAATGTTTTTTCTTATGTTTAATTTTAACTTTGGATCCATTATAGGAGGGTATTTTAGATGTAAGCTATATCAATGCTATTACAGCCCATTTGTGTTACTGGGCTGATTTAGATGCGGTTAGTTTTGTTATAAAAGAGGTTTATAGGGAAGATCCGGAAGATGAATAACTGCTAAGGTAAAAAGTGTTAAAATTTTAAATGAATAAAACAAGTTTTGAATATTAGGTGTAATTATTACATTAACATATATATTTTATATGGGTGCTTAATTTACTTAATATTTAGCAAACAAAATATTTACTGTATATACTTTAAACGTCAATTGTAAATTAAAATACTTCCAATTATTTTCTTAAAGGTTAAAAATTAGATAAGTGCTATTATTGAGAAAGAGGTTAGATTTAGTTTTAGATTATTTTTTTTCGCAATTGAATTTATTTGATCATAGTTGCATGGTAAAAATTAGATATTGTAACATAATCGATGTATTATTTAGCGATGTTGCCAAAACTACTTTGGAAGTTCAGAACTGAAATATGAATTTCCCATAATATAACGATAGTGACCCGTATTCGTTTTATTTTGTTGAAAATAGGTATAATAAAATGACGCATGATTTATTTTATGTAATAAATATTGTATAATGACAATAATTATTAAACAGTTATTTTGCATACCGAGTGGGTGAAAAGTTTTTGGATAGTGACCTTTTTTTAATCGCTGATATATTATTAATATTACTTAACAGTATTACTTAGAGATAGTAAAAAAGGTCCCTGTCCAGAAACCTACCCGGTATAGGATTCTACTGTATGTTTAGAATGATTTCTATTAAAAGTCAAAAAGAAAATGTATATATTTTTTGGTCCAATATTAAGAGAATTTAAATTATGTCTACACAAATGTAAGCATGTCTAAATATCATAATAGCATAAATCTCTTAATTTAAAAGTTTTCTTATCGTTATTTATTTATTTGATATACTATAAAGTTTCGAAATAGCATTATTTCAAAATCATGTCCCTTAAAAATAGTATAGTTGGTTTTGAAATAACGCCCATACGCGTCCCGGAATAACGCGCATTTTATAACAATTCAGCACGTGTTTTTTAACTTTCATAATAAAATACTTACACATGACAACCGTGAAGAACCTTCACGGTTATCGCATGCAGACAATTCCTATTATGTATCGTGAAGATTGACTAATAAAAAATTTGCTCATTATCATGGTAGAACTTTTGCTTATTATGTCAATTAGAAAAATCAATCTGTTATTTCGAGAAAGTACGATGGATAAATCTAAAGTTTCTTATATTTCGAAAAAGTTTCATCTAGTTTTGAAGCTTTCGTCAGTTTCAAAACTTTAATCCAGTTTCAAAGATTTCAACCAATTCAGAAGATAACCGAGTATACAAGCTTTTGATTGAATCTCATTTGATGATGAACTTACCGTAAAGAAATCATAGCCGGAATTCGCTCCTGAAACTCCTGCATGTTATGTCAAATTAGCTAAGCTATGCGTAAAAATAACCTATTACCAACGAAATCAATTCCAAAATTAATTATCATCTTTACGTGATTGCAAATTTAGGTTATGTATTCAATGTCAGAAATCTTTATGGTAAAAATTCAGGCTATAAAAGTGAATTTGTACACCATTTCTTAGACTGACAAAAATAAAATTCCCAAATTTGATATTCTTAACAATGATTAGATTTATTCTTATCTGTTATATGAAACATATCCGGAAAATTCTTAGTTAAATTTATAACGATAATGTTCAACCGTCATAGCGTTACCAACGACTATCTCCATCTCATGCACTTAATGGTTCGGCATCGGCAACGACTTTTCTTTACATGATTTGGCAGATAATGATAAAAACTAATATAATGCGTAACATAGAAAGCACCTTTAAATTAGTAGAATTATGGCCTTAAACACGAAAAATTTTAATAAATGTTTAAACTAATAATTTATGTGAGCATACCTTTTTTTTTTTTTGGCTAGAAAAAAACCTTCAAAAGGCAACTAGAAGGATTACTTCTGAAATTTTACAAACTAAAACCTCTGGTGTAAATGTTTTACTTCTATAACCTGGCTTATAGAAACAAAAACATTTTATTAGGGTTAAAAGGATTCCACCCGGAGGGAATGTGGCTGGAACCTTACTTGACACGGGACGAATAAGGCCAGAATACAAAAATACTTTAAAAAGAAATCTAACTTGGGAATCTTTCAGATAGGGATATTATCAGTTTGACTTAGCTTGTATATTTTACTATATATGATAAAGTATAAATAGTTTGTGTGTGAACTATCCGTAAGCCAATCGAAACTTTGCACAAGAATTAACCAAATTTTGCAATATAAGTTACTTTAATTAATATTTCCAGTACCTTCACTTACAGTATAATTTTGCATGGTCCAATAAGTGGTGATATATTTTAGGGAAATTACACGTAAGGGCCCGAAAAATGCAAATAATTACAAATAAGGGCCCAAGCTGAAAATAATAATTAAGGGCCAAAATAACTTTGCGTTATGATAATAACGATTCTTTAATATTATCACTGTATATGCAGGTATTACTTTATACATTTGATACGTACTATATCATTTCGCTTAATGAAATTTTCTTTAACCAAGATACAGTTCGACTAAATAAAGTACGATATTTATCAATCTTGTAATGTTTATTTGATTCTAAGCTAATATCTATCCTATATTAAAACTAGTGAATCATATTTTGTGAAGGTTGCTATGCGTTAATTGAAGATATTTAGAACCGCAAAAACTCATTTGTATTCGTAAAGTTAAATTAGTCATAATTTTTATATGTAAGACGCTAAGAGAATAAATGAAATAATTTTAAATATTACTCTAACTATATAGTTACGATAAACTTGATTGTAATATTTGGACCCTTATATGTAGTTATTTTCGCTTTTTACTCTTATATGTAATTATTTTCATTTGTCTGGTCCTTATATGCAAATTTCCCAATTTAATATGGTCGTTACCTAAGCTACAGTGTGTCAATTATAGAATATCCATAGTTTTAATATATGTAACATTCGAATTTTCCTTTAAACATCATAAATGGTCAATTATCATTGTTTAAATGGATATTTCAGGAACGACCGAACTATTTGCAATAATCTTAGAAACAATTTGAGGTAATTATGAATTTAAGTACCCTATCTATGGCCAAGAATATTTCAAAGGCAAAAACATCTACTCATAGCGATTTGATAGCGGACCTGCTGTAGATGACCCTGATTTGGCTGCTCAATTTTAGATTTGCTGGTTCAAAGATATTTATATCAGATATGCATTATATTCAATAATATTGTGCGGGCTTTTGTCATTCATTAATTAAATTCTGAACAAAGTTAATATGTTTGTGGAAAAATATATTAGTTATTTCGACGAGGATACAAGAACTGAATACGTAAAATTTTTATCACAATTTTATTATAGATATTATTAAATACTTAATACTACTAAATGTAGTATATTTTATTATGAATCTCTTTTCAACTTTGTAATCGAAATTATTGGTGCATATTCATAAGAGAATAAAGTTTTTATAAAATGTGATCAGGCTTTTCTAAATGATAAAGTATATTTTTAATTAAATAACGATAAATATTTGTGCCACATATCTTGTTATACATGTACCATTTTTGACGTCTAAAGCCTTTTTCGAACATGTTCAAGTGTCCAAAGCTTATTTAAGCTTTAACGTTAACGTTAATAATAATTAAAAAATTTATTTTAAAAAACGTGTACTGGATTGGATGCATCTTTGTTTTTATCAGATCAACCAATCAAAACCCTTAATTTGCGGACACACACACAACAGTGTGTAATGTCCTTCGGACAATTACCGTATATTAATATAATGCAAAATTATGATTAATTTTCCTATAATACCTTAAATTATGGTCGATGAATTTAGTTTTAGAAGAAATCATGAGTATGGATTATGTGCGAATTGCAAGCGATATAACACATTTTACGCTTTGTGCCAAACATGCGACCCTCAGAAGATAGTACAAGAATGGACAAGTGGAAATAAAGATGTTGATGATTGTATTAAAGAAATTCAACTTAAGGCTACAAAATACGAAGATATAATCGAATGGATTCCTTTTAATAGATTAGTTAACATTCAAAATATTGGCGATAAAGTTTTAGCGACCTGGTTAGATGGAATACGATATGCAAAACATGTAGGTGGTGAAGATGGACATACACAGTCACGTATAGAATCATATAAAGTGGAGCTTAAAATATTAACTAAATCACAAAGTTTATCAGACATGTTACAGGAGGTAATTTAGAATATTTAATAATTT